TGTCATTTTCGTGTCCAACAAGTAGTAATTTGGGTCGTAACATTGCTCACAGCAGCACTGCGCCAATGTCGTCTCCAACAATAACTTCAGCTGCAGGTCCATCATCCACGACTATCATAAAACATGTCATCAATTTTGTCATCTTTATATCACATCTATAGAATAAAATTGAGAAAAGCAACAAATTCATAATTTTACAGATACAAATCCATGCGGTGCAGAGGGGTTTCCAAATGGAAGAAGGTTCCTTTTTGATGTCACGTTATGTGTGCAGTACTATTATGAATGCGTTCACGGTGAGTATGAATTGTTTAAAACAACTTAGTTGAAAAAACGAGTTGAATTACAACTATGTAACTGTTTTATTCTACTACGATTCTTATTCAGATAACTACATGCAACGTCCATGCGCAGCCGGGACAAAATTTGACGTGAAATCAACCACGTGCACTTGGGAAAGAAATATCGCCGCATGTCAAGGTAGGATTCATTATTGAATCAAAGGTAGAACGGTTGAGTTTTTTAATCCATTTGGCTGTTGAATAGAAGATTAGACTTTTATTAACAAGAAAAGTTCTAAATATGATTGCTATGCCTGTTTTGTGGGCTCTAATACATCCGAATGGATGAAAAAGATTTGACAATAAAATTCACTTATTTATCAGCATTTTTACATTTCTATTTTAGATGAGCAACCAACAGTATCTTCGTCAAGTACAACTACCGCAACTTTGGCGTCAACTACGACTATGACAGACGCGACTTTAACAACCGAAGAATCATTTACAACATCCACTCCAACAGGTAAATTAATTAGAATATGAACTGTCTCGGGGTTGTAAGCGAGCTGCCCATTTTAGGCGCGATCAGATCCAAAACTCAAATTCATATATAACCGAATCCTAGTCCAATATTTTTCATGGCAAGTTTCAAAGTAGACTTAAATTCCCAAATTAAATGTTAGGTGTTGATATTTTACGAAGACTTGGAGTTATGTGTTCTGCGGCATACCTAAAATGATTAGCATTTTATAAATTTATCAATCTTTCAACAGAAATCACGCTTAAAATTTGGTTGCATGTGTTAAACAGAGGTATAAGGAAGAGGCGTAGAAAAGAAGTGTATTTAAAATTCAGATTATGTAATTAAGAGACTTGTTTTCATAAATATCGTCAAACTATATTTCTCTTACAAAATCAGAAATTTCAAATATTCAATGTTAGTTCTCTGTACTTTTATCTTCAAGATAGAACATTAAACTTAAGTCATTACTAACCGAGGATTGGCATAGTTACGCAATTTTTAAATGGTTCACGTCACATTTGTTATCGTATCACGTTTGAATTGTAAAGTATGCGTGAAAGGTCTTACGCACATGCGTACATGTCCACAAATGTCATTCATTCTTTGTAACATAAACAACGCGTAACAAATCAAACAAAGATTATTTCTAAATATTTCCTGAGTAACATTTTATTTTTAATTATACTTCCTCGAACTATCTATGGCCTCAATTGGTGCACCGATATTTCATTTTGAAACTTGATCTCTGAGTAAGCGGTTCAGGTAAATACAGCTGTTTTTCGTGTACCCCGTATAAGTGATTATAGAGGAGGCGCCCTTAGCATAACGGATACTTCACAATGGCTTTGCCACAATTTGTTAATTGTACGTGTCCATGCATTATCAATTGATAACTTTATCAAATGATAGAGAACCACGAACAAATTACAATTTTTTCAATTGTTGCACACAGGATTAATTAGAATTAATTTTTCTTCATCTATCTGTAAGGTTTCCCGTTTTCAATCGATAAGAAACCTATGATGTTCATTTATTAGGACAACAAAACAATATTATTTCATCACTGCTATAGTTCACAACTTCTTTACAGTTCAATTAATAAACATTTTTTTACAGCTTCAAATCCATGCGGTGCAGGAGGATTCCCAAATGGAAGAAGGTTCCTTTTTGATGTCACGTCATGTGTGCAATACTACTTTGAATGTGTTCATGGTAAGTAGGCTGTGAGTTTCTAGAAACAAAATAGATGAAACCTATGTTGAGGCACAATTCTGCTGCATACGTGAGTGAAAGTGTTTTATTTCAGTATGAAACAATTATTATTCAGATAACTACATTCAACGTCAATGCGCAGCCGGGACAAAATTCGACGTGAAATCAACCACGTGCAATTGGGAAAGAAATATCGCCGCGTGTCAAGGTATTAATATTGAATTCACGGTAAAATGGCTGACTCAAATTCAAAAGTTCTATAAATCAAACATTACATATAAATTTGTTCCAAAATGTTTATTTTTTTTATATATCAAACGATCATATATTATGTTCATCCAACTGCGGTACCAGCATTGCAACTATTCTGGTCTGTTCATTCTGGCGTATCCGTTTATTGTATTGCGTCATTAAAATTGCACTTGCTACCGACATATACCGGTACGTTCGGTTGTTCAATCTTTGTACCGTCTCGTGTACCGTTACGTTCACACTAGTTTTATTTACTAATTAAATGTTCCTCAACAAGTTTATTACGTGGTTAAATTTTCATCGAGATTGTTGAATTTTAGAATTTTTTCCATACTATTTGGGCCGCACTGGAAAAATTTTGCCAACCACTGCTCTAACACGTCCGGATGACCTCTGACCTAATAACTTGAACGTTACTCGAATTTTTCTTGATTCAAGTCACAAAGTATGAATGATGACTAAAATAGATTTTGATTTAAAAAGAAAACAAACTGACTTTCACTTTTTCTGATTTGACTAAAATTAACTACATTTTATTTGAGAATCGATTTGGACACAAGGATTGATGACTTGGAGATTGCAATGAATGCGGCTGCAATTGAATCATACTCTTTTCCCCATAAGCAACTCAACTGGTTCGAGACACGTCTGGCAGCTGTGTGAATGATCTGACAATAAAATTCTTTTTTTTATTAGTATTTTATATTTTTATTTTAGATGAGGAACCTACGGTATCTTCTTCAAGTACAACTACCGCAACATCAGATTCAACATCTATCCCAACAAGTAAATTATTTGAAATTCAATCTTTATTAGAGTTGTGAGCAAGCTTATTTTAAGCGCGATCCGATCCGAACCTAAAATTACACCCGAATCCTAACCCAAACCTTTTATGCCAAGTGTGGCGCATCGTGCTAAGCGTTAGGAATACGCTCGCCACCGCATCTCTGATTACCCTTCTTGGGATCGCAGGTTCGAATCCCATGCGAGGATGATCATGTGCGAGAGAATTGCTGGACTTCCCGCCGCCGTAGGGTGATTCACGTAACCGCTGGTCGTTTACGGCTTCCTTCACCATCAAGTCCACGCTTCCGAAAAAACAATTAACTGGCTAACTAATCCCATACCCAACTTGAACTGGTAACCGGACGAGAGGCCGTGGTTCGCCATATGATTAAACCGTCTTATCGGCTTTCCTCTCCCCCGGGATAAATATGTAAATCCTATCCTATCCCAAGTTCCAAAGCAAACTTAAATACCCAAATAACATGAATGGTGTTTATCCTTAGCGAAGCTTTGGAATTATTTGTTCTGCAAAAGTGATGAATATCTGAGACAGTATTAAACTAAGTCATTACTAGCCAGAGATTGACATAATCACGCAATTTTTAAATGGTTCACTTCCCATTTGGAATATAACTACTCTTTCATCGTGAAGTATGCTTGAAAACGTAGGCTATATGCGTGCATATCCACAATTGTCATTACATCCTTTGTATTATAAATACCGTGTAATCAAATACGTTCTTGGTAAAAAAAACTGTGCCGACTCATGTTAAATGAGTGGTTACATTTGACTAAAGCACCGGTTCCCAACCAGTGGTCCATGGCCCGCAGAAACATTTCCGGATGGGCCAAAAACTTGAAAATTGCTATTAATAAATTTAGTTGAATTAGATGGTAGTAGCAATAATTGATGCTGTTTTTTTACAACATGGTGGCAATTTTCATTCTAAATATTAAAGTGAAATTGTCTGTTTTTACAGAAATAATTTTATGCTTTCTTGTAGTTTTTCCTTTATAGGCCCACTTTAATGGCCCACATAATTTTCGAAACGAAAATGGGCCAAAAAAAAGTGTTTTGGCCATCGTATCTCATTTTGATATAACTACCAAATTATTATCAAATTAATCTGATTGCATTTTTTTTTTATTAAAATGTACTTTGAATGTTTCAATCAGGTCATATTGCATTTGCATTACTTTTTTGCGGTACAATATCAATTTAAAAAGTTCAAATCTGCACAGTAATCAAACAAAATTGTTTCTAAATTTCTTTTTTTCATTTTGGCATTAGAATCCCACGCATAATTCATGGCTGTCATTTGGCGCAATTATACTTTATTTTGAGACTTGATCTCGAAGCAAGTGGTTCAGGTAAAAGCAGATTTTTGTGTACCCGGATAAGGATTTATCGAGGCGACGTTCTTAGCATAACAGAGATACATGACATTAGTTTTGTCATACTCTGTTAGGTCTGTGTGACCATGTATTATCAATGGCTGACTTTAACAAATGATCGAAAAACGCGGAAAAATTACAATTTCTACGAAAGCATTGCACTTTAGCGCAATTTGAAATAATTTCCTCGACCTATCTCATTGATTTCATGTTTCCCATCAGGGAAAGACATGCAATGTACAAAATACATCAAGTCAACAGATTAGCTTCATATCATGATCATGGCAGACCAATTTTAGTTCAAAGTTTTTGAATGCAGTTTCACAGTTGAATTATTTGCCATATTTTTACAGCTGCAAATCCATGCGGTGCAGGAGGATTCCCAAATGGAAAAAGATTTCTTTTTGATGACACCTCATGTGTGCAGTACTACTATGAATGTGTTCATGGTGAGTCTTTCTAAACAACGTATCTGAAACGCACGTTGACTAAAAATGTTAATGTGATTTGTCGTAAATGTTTCATTCTACTATGAAACGATTCTTATTCAGATAACTACATGAAACGTCCATGCGCACTCGGGACAAAATTCGACGTTGAATCAACCACGTGCACTTGGGAAAGAGATATCACCGCATGTCAAGGTAGGTCAACTACTTCAGACTTTGATTTAGCTCTCAGTCAGAATAAAATTAATTTTACATTCCTATTCTAGATGGGCAAACTACAGTATCTGTAACAGATCCACATTCAAGTACAACTACTGCAACATCAGCCCCAACTACAAGTACCACTGAATACACTACCGTAACAACTGAAGAACCAACATCTCCTCCACCAGGTAAATCTACTGGTATACTAAATAAATCATTTAATAAAAAGATCTTTTTAGGCCGATCGGAGCCCAAAAAACTAGCTTTGATTTCCGACTTGAACAGCTGATAAACTGCTCCAACATACAACGCAAAGCGTTGACATTTCACCCGCGTGGTCGTTCGACGGCGCTTGACACGTGCTTACATGATTTGTTACTAGTATGTTACTGCGGGACGGACTAAAAGTAGGCACTTGCAAATTAGGCACTTATTTAGGCACTTAGTAAAAAGGGCGTAATACCTTTTAAAACCATCATTAATTAGTTAAAAATGGTCAAATTAAATGTTGAAAACGCAAATTGCAACGGGCAAACACAATAACAATATTTAAAACGTAGTATTAAAGGCAGTCGCACGCGCTTGGTCACCACATATGCTAGGCACATATTTAGGCACTTCGAAAATAAAGAAAATGGCAATTATCACTAATAAAAGACAGAGAAATAAACATATTACCCACACTGATTAGCCTGGGTAAATATCCAATAGATGCACTTGAGTCTAGTACTGGAATTTAGAAATAATAAATTGTTACCGGTAGGCACTTATTTAGGCACTCCGGAAAAAAGGTGAAATGGACGTAGTAACTCTTAAAAAGGTAATGAATTAGATCAAAATATTTAAATTGAAATGTTGAACGCGAAAATTGCAACAGTTAAATCCAATAACGATTTCTAAAACGTTGTATTAAAGGGAGACGCACGCGCTCTGTCACCACGTATGCTAGGCACATATTTGAGCACTTCGAAAAATAAAGAAAATGGCAATTATCACTAATAAAAGACAGAGACATAAACATATTACCCACACTGATTAGCCTGGGTAAATATCCAATAGATGCACTTGAGTCTAGTACTGGAATTTAGAAATAATAAATTGTTACCGGTAGGCACTTATTTAGGCACTCCGGAAAAAAGGTGAAATGGACGCAGTCACTCCTAAAAAGGTAATGAATTAGATCAAAATATTTAAATTAAATGTTGAACGCGAAAATTGCAACAGTTAAATCCAATAACGATTTTTAAAACGTAGTATTAAAGGGAGACGCACGCGCTCTGTCACCACGTATGCTAGGCACATATTTGGGCACTTCGAAAAATAAAGAAAATGGCAATTATCACTAATAAAAGACAGAGACATAAACATATTACCCACACTGATTAGCCTGGGTAATTATCCAATAGATGCACTTGAGTCTAGTACTGGAATTTAGAAATAATAAATTGTTACCGGTAGGCACTTATTTAGGCACTTCGAAAAAAAGGTGAAATGGACGTAGTAACTCCTAAAAAGGTAATGATTAGTTCAAAAATATTTAAATTAAATGTTGAACGCGAAAATTGCAACAGTTAAATCCAATAACGATTTTTAAAGACGTAGTATTAAGGGAGACGCACGCGCTCTGTCACCACGTATGCTAGGCACATATTTGGGCACTTCGAAAATAAAGAAATTGGCAATTATTACTAATAAAAGACAGAGAAATAAAAATATTACTCACACTGATTAGCCTGGGTAAAATAGTCCAATGGAGTGCACTGAGTCTAGTACTTGGAATTTAGAAATAATAAATTGTTACCAGTAGGCACTTTTTTAGGCACTTATTTAGGCACATCGAAAAAAAAAGGTGAATAGGGCGTAATAAACTTTTAAAATGATAATTAATTAGTTGAAAATTGTCAAATTAAATATTGAACACGCAAATTGCAATGGGTGAACCGAATAACAATATTTAAAACGTAGTAGTAAAAGGAGTCACACGCGCTCGGTCACCACATATGCTAGGCACATATTTTAGGCACTTCGAAAAAAGAAGAAAATCGGAATTATCACCAATAGAAGACAGAGAAATAAAAATAATACCCACACTGATTAGCCTGGGCAAATATCCAATAGATGCACTTGAGTCTAGTACTGGAATTTAGACATAATAAATTGGTACTGGTAGGCATTTTTTTAGGCACTTCGAAAAAAAGGTGAAATGGACGTATTAACTCCTAGAAAGATAATGAATTAGTTCAAAATATTTAAATTAAATGTTGAACGCAAAAATTGCAACAGTTTAACCCAATAATGATTTTAAAAACTTAGTACTAAAGGGAGACGCACGCGCTCTGTCACCACATATGCTAGGCACATATTTAGGAACATCGAAAAAAAAAAATGGAAATAATCACCAATAAAAAAATAAAATAAAAATATTAGTCAAAATGATTAGCCTGGGACTGGGTGAATATCCAATAGATGCACTTGAGTCTAGTAGTGGTATTTGAGAATAATAAATTGTTACCGGTAGACACCTTTTCCGTGTTTCCCCGAAATTAATTCAGTGTCTTATTTCAAATTTCTTCCTAAAATTACCACTAGGGCTTATTTTCGGGGGATGTCTTATATTTTAATTTATCAAAAACAAAATTACAAAGTAAAGAATTAGAATATTTTCAAATATGCAAAATATAAAATCTGATATCATTGGGTTTACTTGTTGCAATTTGCATATTAATTTTTTTAATTTAAATATTTTAAACTAATTCATTATCTTTTTAAAAGTTATAACGCCCATTTTACGCATTTTTTAGAAGTGTCTAAATAAGTGACTAAAAAGTGCCTACCGGTAACAATTTATCATTCTCAAATATCACTACTAGACTGAAGTGCATTCATCGGATATTCAAATAGGCTAATTATTTTGACTAATATTTTTATTTTCTGTATTTTTATTCATGATAATTACCATTTTCTTTATATTTCGAAGTGTCTAAATATGTGCCTAGCATGTGTGGTGACAGAGCGCGTGCGTCTCCCTTTAATACTATGTTTTAAAAATCGTTATTGGGTTTACCCCTTGCAATTTCCGCGTTCAAAATTTAATTTGAATATTTTGAACTAATTCATTATCTTTTTAGGAGTTACTACGTCCATTTCACCTTTTTTTTTGAAGTGCCCACCGGTAACAATTTATTATTCCTAAATTCCAGTACTAGACTCAAGTGCATCTATTGGATATTTGCCCAGGCTAATCAGTGTGGGTAATATGTTTATTTCTCTGTCTTTTATTAGTGATAATTGTCATTTTCTTTATATTTCGAAGTGCCTAAATATGTGCCCAGCATACGTGGTGACAGAGCGCGTGCGTTTTCCTTCAATACTACGTTTTAAAAATCGTTATTGGGTTTAACTGTTGCAATTTTCGCGTTCAAACATTTAATTTAAATATTTTGAACTAATTCATTATCTTTCTAGGAGTTACTACGTTCATTTCACCTTTTTTCGAAGTGCCTAAATAAGTGCCTAAAAAAGTGCCTACCGGTAACAATTTATTACTTCTAAATTCCAGTACTAGACTCAAGTGCATCTATTGGATATTTGCCCAGGCTAATCAGTGTGGGTAAAATTTTTAATACTCTGTCTTTTATTGGTGATAATTCCGATTTTTCTTCTTTTTCGAAGTGCCTAAATATGTGCCTAGCATATGTGGTGACACAAGCCGTGCGACTGCCTTTAAAACTGCGTTTTAAATATTGCTATTGAGTTTGCCCGTTGCAATTTGCGTTTTCAACATTTAATTTGACCATTTTTAACTAATTAATTATGTTTTTAAAAGGTATTACGCCCTTTTTTACTTTTTTTCCAAAGTGCCTAAAAAAGTGCCTAATTTGCAAGTGCCTACTTTTTGTCCGTCCCTGTTACTGCCACCAAATTAGATTTGGGATTAATTTTTTTTTTGTATGCAGTAAATTAATGGTATACCTTATTTCACAGAATCTTGCACTGAAGCTCAACGTCAATACGTCACTATGTTCAGGTGAGTTCTACTGCGTACAATCTTTAGAGAAAATACAGATATTTATGATGATACGATTTATATGTTTCATGAATTTCATAATCTCAATTTTTTCAAATATCAGAAAATTAAACCAGAATTTGATGAAGTTTATTTTTTATCAGTATCAGAAAATTGATTTATTTAATTCTTTTTTGACAGAGAATGGCAGCAAGCAATGGATGACTGGTCTACATTAATGGATGAATACGATCCTTGTCCATAATAAATATGTTACTTGTTTTTGTAATTTTAAATGATTTTCAGAATTTTAAGGCACGAAAAATAGGAGCTAATGAATATGATTCAAAAATATCACTGAATATTTGTACAATTTTACTGGAAAGATGAAAAACAAAAAACAACTCAACTTCCCTGAGTGGCCAACGTACAAATATATTTTCTTGTATCACTCACTATATAATAGCATTCTTTCTGACAAGACAATCAGTTTAATAGGTGGGCGAAAATCTATTATGAAAGGAAAAAGTTAAAAATAATTCCGGTCAGTAGGGACCAATAAAATGTTTCCAGATTCCAGGAATCAACATACAGGTGAACCATTTCAATCGTATTTAGCTGATTTGAGAGCAAAAGCTAGCACAGGCAAATTTGGTGACATGAAAAATGAATGAATTTGCGATAGGCTTGTGTGTGGTATAAGAAATGACAAAGTTAAACGACTGCTTCTACGCGAAGATGATCTAACGTTGAACAAAGCTATCAACATTTGTCAGATTAATGAGCTGTCCGACCAGCGGATACAACTGCTTGCAGATGATTTTGAAGAAGATGAAATTCATGATTTACATCGCCAAACGCAAATGCGAAAACAAAGGCAAGATTTTCCATTCAAAATTTGTCATAATTGTGGACGTAAGCATGCCAATACTCGAAAACTATGTCCTGCATTTAACAAGCAATGCAGAAGTTGCGGAAAGATGAATCACTTTCAGAATGTATGCCGAACTAAGCCTGCAAAACCGCAGCACCAATTTTATCGAAAATTTCGTAAACCTGTGAATTCTGTAGATAAGAATGGCAAACACAAGAAAAACAAAATCATGAAACGACTGATTTTGAAACATATGAAGTTGGCTCACTTGATGACAATACACAAGCAGTGTCGGAATTTTATGCCAAGTTACAAGTTCATGGGAAAGAGTTGAATTTAAAAGTAGATACAGGAGCACGTTGCAATGTTATGCCTCGCCACTTATTCGAACGCATACGCAAACACGAATGGATTGACAAACGAAATCCACCAAAACTTGTCAGCTATAGTGGAAACAATTGACACACTAGGCCACACTTTGATTAATTGCATTCGTAATGGCTCAACATACAAATTGAAATTTCACATCATTGATCGAGAAGCGAAACCTCTCATTGCTTGCGAAGATAGCATCAGGATAGGACTGATCAAGCTTCATGATGTGCATGGGATGAATCCAGAAAAGACAATAACAAACACGTACAACTTGATGACAGAAGATTACAATAAACGTGAGTTTATTGATTTATTTGATGGGGAACTAGGAAAGTTACCAATCGAGTACAAAATCAAGCTCGATAAAACCGTTCGTTCTGTTGTTCGACCTCCGAGACGCATACTAGTTGCTCTCCAGTCGAAAGTTTAAAGCCGAACTCGATAAAATGACCAAAATGAATGTTATCAGACCAGTAACAAAGCCTACTCAATGGGTTTCTTCTATGTTGGCTGTCAAAAAGAAAAATTCTGACGGTATTCGGATTTGCATTGACCCAAGGGATCTTAACCAAGCGATAAAGCGACAACATTATCCTATGAGAACAATAGAAGAAATAGCTGCACGCATACCAGATGCGAAATGTTTTACAGTTTTAGACGCATCTAGTGGTTACTGGCAAATTCCCTTGCATGAAGATGTAACAGCCGTTCCTTGTGACATGGACGACACCGACAACAGTTCAATAACGCGGTCTTTCAAGCCCCAAGTTTGTATCCTCAATCCAGAAAACCACACAACTCGAAGTATACAGTTGACACGGTTATCTTAATACAAACCTAAAAACAAATCAATACAAAATACTTGCAATAAATAAATAATCGTACACAATTCGGCCTTTAGAAAGCCTACTCAAATTTATGAACACATTCATTAAACATAGTTAATTAACAAGTCTAACAAAATGACTATTAAATAACTTGCAGCCTTCAAATCAGAAAGAGTTACAAATTATAACATACCGAATTTGTCTGCTATTCCAGGCTTAAATTATCATAAGTTGAACATAAAATGAACATTCGTCGGAACAAATCAATTAAATAAACTATAACTGTAAAAATAATCACAAAGGCAATCTAATGCTGATAAAATATCCTTAAACTAGGCCTATGTGGGGCATCATAATCTACATTATTTAATCGTCCTGCTGTCAAGACAGAAAGTCAAGGTCGCTAAACAATTTTAACTTATTTACAAATCACAACGAAACGAGCGCCATTCTTTGCAAAAGTAAAGCGCTATCTAAAGCAAATTACCGAAACTATCCCTGTCTAAGCGAGACATGTCTGGGCAAGCAATTGCCACGAAGACTCTCTCAATTGTTTTGTAACAAAGTGTGTGGAAGCACACTGTCAATCAAGGGAAATTACGGCGTCAACAATACCAAATAAATTACTACTCAAGTTAAACGGACGCAATGTTTAAGTCAATACAAAAAATCAAGTGAATGCGATTCTCGATGTAACATTCCCCCAGCCAGATGTTGGAACCCAGTGAAAACATCTCACTCACAAATTTCTTACATCGATGATATCACACACTTGAAAACATTTTACTCATTAACTCTATGAATTAAGCACAACTTTGCAATTGGCCTTCTCAGTAAACCCCTGGATGTCTTCACAGTAACTTGACGTACAGCTCCAAGTTTATCAGGCGTAGTTTCCATAACACGTCCAGTCTGCCACTTCCCTCTTGGTATAGTATTGTCCACAAGTAGCACAATATCACCAACTTCTATATTACGTTCTTTTAGAGGTCCATTTCTGTCGTGTCTGAAGTATGGGTGTGTATTCTTTGATCCACCTGATCCAAAACTGATCAGCTAACTACTGAATTTGTCGCCATCTTCGTCGAGTGTAACAATCCTTTTTGTCGAATATGCCAGAAGGTAAATTACTTGTAGGATTCAGTAACAGCGAGTGATTTGGAGCGAGTGGCTCATCATCTTTCGGATCGAAACTTATTGGAGTGATGGGTCTGGAATTCAACTGTGATTCCACTTCACAAAAAATAGTAGCCAAAGCTTCATCTGACACCAACTGGTCGTGTAAGAGAGCAACCAAAATCTTTCGAACTGATCGAATTAATCTTTCGTAACATCCTCCAAAATTAGAAGCAGTAGGTGGATTGAATTGGAATTTAATATTCTCCTGACGCAAATATTGTCCAACTTTGCTTGAATTCCAAACTTCTATTTCTTTACGTAGTATTTATTTGCTGCCACGAAGTTACTACCGTTGTCACAGATGAACTTTAATGGTCTACTTCTACGTGCAATAAATCTTCTTAATGCGTTTATGAATAAATCTGCATCCATCGAGTATGCAACTTCCAAGTGTACGGCACGAGTTGTCATGCATGTAAATATACAACCCCAACTCTTGACAGTACTTCGTCCTTGTTTTACAAGAAAATGTCCAAAGTAGTCCACTCCAACATATGAAAATGGTCTTTCCCCTGGTGTGACTCTTTCCTTTGGAAGATTGACCATGATCTGTTTACTCACAGGTGAACTTCTTCTTCGACAAAACATGCATTTTCTGATAACAGATTTCACCATAGCGCCTCCTTTAACAATCCAAAATTGTTGTCGCAGAGAAGTCCATGTACTACCCATACCAGAATGATGTGTAGATACATGATGTTCTCTTATAATCATCTCAGTTACATGATGGTTGTGTGGGAGTATAATCGGATGTTTAACATCAAAATCAACCGGTACATTTCTCAATCTCCCACCAACTCTGATGAAGCCATCTTTCACAATCGGATTGAGTTTATGCGGGTAAATTGAAAATCTTTAATCTCTCCAGTACTTGTTTTCCAGATGTACTTCTTTGATTGTCTTTCAGCAAGGCATCAATAACTTCGCCAAATTCTTGTCTCTGTTTGTATTTCAAAATATCGTCTCCAGCAACTCGCAATTCTTCAACTTCAAGTTTCTCATTGCACCTATAATTTTCCTTCTTCTTATGAAAGTAGTCTTTGAATCGAATCATCCATGCACTTGCCTTTTTCAACTTATACCATGTTGAGAAATATGAAATGAATTTATCCATTGGCTTCAAAGCGGAATCAGAAACATAATTTGTAACAATTTGTAGCTTCTGGGATTGTACCTTTCATCTCACAAATTCATCAGGGAGCTGCACTGGCGGTTTAGGCCAATGTTCCTCCTGCTCTTGGAGAAATGATGGTCCCTTCAGCCATCGTTCATCCATCAACGATTGTACCGACAATCCTCTGGATGCATCATCTGCGGGATTCAAATCTGTAGGTACATATCTCCACTGCAAAGCATTCGATCCATCTTCAATCTTTGCAAGACGATTTGCCACAAATGTTGGAAATCTTCGTGATGTATTGTTAATACTTAAGAGCACGGAAGTTGAGTCTGTCCAAAACATCGACTCTATTTCTTTGAAGTCTAATTCCCGTCTCAGGAATAAATCTAATTTAACTGCAAGAGCTGCTGCAGTTAACTCCAATCGTGGTATTGAAACAGTTTTGATGGGTGCTAGTCGAGCTTTTCCTAAGAGAAAGGCAACATGAATTTTTCCATCTTCATTTATCAGTCGCAAATATGATACAGTTCCATAAGCAACTGCAGAGCCATCTGCAAAATGGTGTATTTGACGAGTCACAATATTTCCAAAACCAGAAGGCGCAAAACATTTTTGCATGAATATATTCTCAAGTCCAGGGATATTTTCGAGCCATCTGTTCCACAATAAATTTTCACTATTCGATATTTTATCGTCCCATCCATAATTACTTCGACATAACTGCTGCATCAGAATCCTCGCTTTAAATATTACAGGTGCCACTATTCCCGTCGGGTCAAATATCGAACTGAGTACAGACAAAATCCTTCGTTTTGTTGCGGGTTTTGATTTCAAATTAACATCAAATCCAAAACAATCTTCTTGGATATTCCACTTTATTCCGAGTACTCGATCGATCTTTTCAGGTTCTAAATTTACACTTGATGCAGAGTCTGCTCTGTCTTTAGCAGGAATCTCAGACAGAACCTCAGGATTGGAACTTTTCCACTTTGCTAGATGAAATCCTTTTTTCTCCAGCAATTTATTCGTTTTCCGGACAATATGAATTCCCTGGTCTACAGTAGATGAGCAATTCAGGTAATCATCAACATAAAAATTTCGCTCTACTCCTTTGACAACTTCATCGTCAAATTCATCTTGATGATCTTGAGCTGTCTTCTTCAGGCTCCAATTAGCACAAAACGGAGATGAGACGCTACCAAATATGTGCCTGACCATAAAATATTCTGATGGATCTTGTGACAAATCACCTCCAGGCCACCACATAAATCGCAATACATTCCAATCCTTCGGGTGCACTTTCACCTGATGGAACATTGCTTCGATGTCAGCCACAATAGCTATTTCATGTTGTCTAAAGCGGAGAAGAGTTCCAAGTAAAGAATTAGCCGAATCCGGGCCTCTCAATAGTTGGTCATTCAAGGAGGTATTCATACAACGTGATGCAGCGTCAAAGACGACACGTACCTTGCCTGGCTTTTGTCCAGAAAACACAGGGATGAGGCAAGTACCAAACTGCACCTTTACGACCAACTTTATATTCATTCGAGATACGTTTTGCAAATCCAAGACTAATATATTTCTTCATAGTATCACAGTACTTCATTTTCAAAACAGGATCACTCTTCAATTTTCGTTCAATGTACTTTAGGCGTTTCATCGCAACACTTCCATTATCTGGCAAATTAGGGCATCCTGGCTTCCATGACAATAGTAACTGATAATGTCCGTTCACGATCTCATCTGAATCTTCCATCAACTGCAATGCATATTTGTCTTCCTTAGACATTGATGGAATAGGCGACAGTGAAGCATCTTTGAAATCACTTTCCCACAAACACTTGATTTGCTGACTCGGCAAGTCTTCCTCTTGCACTTGAACGCAATGAATGTGAACATCACTGTTTCTCTCGTGAGATAAAGCTGGTCCAACCAATTACCATCTTAAAATGGATTTCTTTGCCGAAGGTTCATTGTGTTTCCCTCGTCTCTCATCCATTGTCCAAAACGCTTTAGGGACATTTACCCCAATCATCAACATCACATCTTTACACGGCAGAGTAGGAATCTTCAATCCCTTCAAATGTGCATCAACTTTGTACATCAAATTGTGCTTCATTAGCTTTAACAGGCAGTCTATCAACAGTTAGCACATGAGATAAATCAACACTTTCTCTACCACCAAGTGATTTTACAGTAAAATCAACCGCATAACATCTTGTGATGTTGGTACCGCATTCACAGTTGTCAACGAAAACTGCGTTTTCTTGCCTCTCAACTTCAATAGATCAAGGAGTCGCTCATCGCATAAGCAAGCAGTAGAGCCTTCATTTAGAAATGCATACGTTTCTATTTCTCTTCTGTTGGCACAGATTTTGACAGGTACAATATTCAAAAAACATCCTGCTGAGCTTTTTGAAGTCGCATATGCTTCAACTTTTGACTCATGCATACCAGCAGCATTTTCTGTCTGAGTACATGTCTCTTGTTCTCTTCTGTGCAATAAAGTATTATGTTTCAACCTACACCCGTCAACAGTACAAGCAGATGGTTCACGACAATTTCTCAACATATGACCATATACAAAACAATTATCGCACAATCTTGCCTTTCTAACAATCTTCAAGCCGTGTCACCGTGTGACTTCTGCAGGAATTTGTAACAGTCAACAAGTTTGTGTGACGTCTTCAAACAGTCAGGACAGACATCTCTTCCCTTTTCAATGTGTTTTGCACTGGTAACACTGCTGTCAACAGCTGAAGTCACAGCAGTAGAATGAGCGTGAATCTTTCGCCTATTCGATGATTGAAATCGTAAACGATGTTGCTGTTCTTGCTCCCTTCGAGCTCTCAAGGCTTTTCCATAAGGCGTATTTGCAGCCGCAGTCTTTTTCTTCATAAATCGAACAAGATCTTTAAATCTCACTTCTCTATCTAATTCTGCCACTGATTCTTCTCAGTTGTTCTGCAACTTGAGAGGAAGTCGCAATACGATGGACAAAATAGTATCAAAATTATCCAAATCCCCAAAATATTTCAAATGTGTCAAAGTGACTAAACATTCTTCTAATGTTTGAGAAAGACGTAATAAACCTTCGGTATCTCCAGGTTTCAACCATGGCCCTTTAGTCAACTTTTCTGAATATTTTCTAGCCACAAGCATTGGTCGACCGTGTGTCTTTCTGAGCAAATCGCATGCCTCTTTATAACCTTGGCTCGGGTGGCAACATTGTACAGTGCATAATCAATTTCCTCGCATCACCTTCGCAGTATTGTACCAAATATGACAACTTTGTACTTGTATCATGTACTCTTCTATCAATATTTAAGTTGAAGTTAGTGATAAACCGGACATATTCAGTCTCTATTCCACTAAAATGCAATAACTCAGGTCGAGGTCTATCAATTCCGTCTTGCAACTTAGATGCCATTTTGCCCAATAAACTTTCCACATTCGGTGACGATTGATCATGCGTGCTTCTTTGTTGTGGGATGTGTGCTCCTGTGTACGGAGGTCGGTTCAATGATTCATACTGATCAGAAATATTCACATTCACGGCATCTCTCATATTAACAGTAGAACAGGTCTTCTAACATTCAATACATGATTGTCCACTCTGACTCGAGATTGAGATAACAAATCTGATGCTGGCAATTTAGGTCTCACATCTGAAGGCTTCGATACCGGCATTCCTATTTCATTCACCTCTTGGATTTGATTAGGTGAATGTGAACGAGACATATTTTCATATAATGACATACCTTCGCCTCCCTGAGAAGCATTTTCCCATACATTGGCTGCTATACAGGCTGATTCATATACATGCTGCAATTCCAAACGCTTTGTTACACTTTGAGCATCCCCTTCGATTTGTCTAGCTCTTATTTCAGCGTCACGTTTAAGCTTTTCAGCCTTCATTCGAGCTTCCTGCTCTTGCTTTCTAGCATTTTCCATAGCTTCGCGTTCCAGCCTTTTAGCATTTTCTGTAGCTTCACGTTCCATCCTTTTAGCATTTTCTATAGCTTCACGTTCCAGCCTTTTAGCATTTTCTGTAGCTTCACGTTCCAGCCTTTCAGCTTCAATTTGGGCATCTAATTTCATTTTCTCTGCTGCCATTTTCACATCAATTTCTCGCTTTTTTGCGGCATCTTTTTCTACTTGCTGCCAAATACTAGCATGAGCAAGTTCTCTAATGGCAATAGCTTCTGTACGTTTAGTACTCGAACTTGAACTGGCACATAAACGACGGGAACTTTTTCCAGAAATTATAGAACGTGCTTTAGGGTTATGTGTCGATGATTTATGGCCATCAACGTCAGACTTTTTGAACCAATCGCGTACGTGCACATTGAATTCTTGAAACTCACGCAATTCACACTGGAAAAATTTGCTGACATTTCTCCGATCTTCTTCAGAACGTAAAGTACTCACATGAATTTCATGCGCATTTGAATACTCTGTGAACCGTTTGTCAATGTTAGCACTTTTCGATTTCAACAAATCTCGATTTTTGTAGTCTGACATAAGTCTTTCAGCATCTTGATATAGTTCCTTCAGACGAGCACGTAATTCTTCTAAATTTGATTTCGAAACAGATTCTGCGTCCATAATGTACAATCACAGTGCTCTTCAAACAAAAGTATAAATGTTCAACAGTAGGAGGATTTCTTCAATTTTGACGATTTACCGAACTCCTGCCGGCATTCGACGATACTTTAGTTATGCAAAATCCGATGACTTTATTTGCATAAATTCGATAACTTTGATTTGCGGAAATTCGATAACTTTAATGTAACAGCCGTTCTTTGTGACCTGGACGACATCGACTGCACACTAGATATTTATTAACAGTTCAATAACGCGGTCTTTCAAGCCCCAAGTTTGTATCCTCAATCCAGAAAATCACACAACTCGAAGTATACAGTTGACACGGTTATCTTAATACAAACGTAAAAACAAATCAATACAAAATACTTGCAATAAATAAACGAGAATATCGGTTGGAAACCGAAGACTTATCGACCGATAGTTAGGGGATCCCCAAAACAGAACCTGCAGTTTCGATTCATCCGCTCTTGTAACTTGCGCACTGCGCATCGCACACACACACACACTCGGCGGGTCTCAAAATTCTCTCGCTTTACAAAAATCTAGATCCCTATATCAATAATTGATTGATATATCGCTAATTATAGACATAATTCGCCCAAAATCAATAGGCTTCTGGTCCGAGATAAGATGAATGCACATGCAAAATCTGGAGCAGATTCAATCTCGCTTTCGTGAGATATCGCGTGCATCTAACAGACATACAGACAAATACCTATCAACATACTTACCGATCAAAATCGATAAGTAATAATCGTACACAATTCGGCCTTCAGAAAGCCTATACTCAAATTTATGAACACATTTAACAATAGTTAATAACACATAGTTAATTAACAAGTCTAACAAAATTACTATTAAATAACTTGCAGCCTTCAAATCAGAAAGAGTTACAAATTATAACATACCGAATTTGTCTGCTATTCCAGGCTTAAATTATCATAAGTTGAACATGAAATCATTCGTCAATGAAATCGGAACAAATCAATTAAATAAACTATAACTGTAAAAACAATCACAAAGGCAATCTAATGCTGATAAAATATCCTTAAACTAGGCCTATAGTATGTGGGGCAGTCATAATCTACATTATTTAATCGTCCTGCTGTCAAGACAGAAAGTCAAGGTCGCTAAACAATTTTAACTTATTTACAAATCACAACGAAACGAGCGCCATTCTTTGCAAAAGTAAAGCGCTATCTAAAGCAAATTACCGAAACTATCCCTGTCTAAGCGAGACATGTCTGGGCAAGCAATTGCCACGAAGACTCTCTCAATTGTTTCGTAACAAAGTGTGTGGAAGCACACTGTCAATCGAGGGAAATTACGGCGTCAACAATAACCAATAAATCACTACTCAAGTTAAACGGACGCAATTTTTAAGTCAATACAAAATATCAAGTGAATGCGATTCTCGATGTAACAAAGATTCTTCATACCTGACCACCTTTAATAGTCCATATGGCCGCTACAGATTTACGCGCATGCCATTTGGGATTGTTTCAGCCGCATAGGTGTTCCAAAACACAATGGATCAATTGTTCAGTGATTGTCCATGTCATATCATTGTTGATGATATACTAATTTTTGGTCGAGATGTCGAAGAACATGATAGAAATTTACGCCAAGTTTTACAAAGAGCTCGCGAAGTCAATTTGAAGCTGAAAAAATGCAAGTTTTAAACAACAGAAATTTTAAACATTGGTCAACTACTTACCAAGGATGGTTTAAAACCTGATCCTGAAAAAGTTCGTGCAGTAAAAGACATACCAGAGCCTGATGGACCAAAAGCTCTTCAACGTTTCATAGGCATGGTAACATATTTGGGGAAATTCATACCCAAACTCAGTCAGTTGTCTCAACCTTTACGAGAAATGCTGCATAAAGATATTTTGTGGTCATGGGACACACCACAGAAACAAGCATACAATCAAATCAAAGAAGCAATTATTAATGCGTCAACGCTCAGATTTTATTATGTCAATAAACCAGTACTTTTGACATGTGATTCTTCTAAAAGTGGTCTTGGAGCTGCATGTTTGCAAAATAGACAACCTATTGCATTCGCATCTAGAGCAGTGGTTCTCAACCGCCGGTCCGCCGAATATATTCCAATATAAATATATTAATTGCAAAATACAAAGTATTGACTTCATGTCCATTAATTTTATGATTTTTTTTTAACTCTTATTGATTCGTAGTACCGGTATTCTTCTAACAACCAAACTTGGTGAGAGGTCCTCTGCCCATTTAAGCCCTCAACGGTTGGATGTTTGTTAAGTCTATGATCACATAACGGCGGCTAGGCTAACGTCCTAACGGATGAGTTTAATAGCACATTAACTTGCATGACATAAAAATCACGTTTTTATTCTATGTAATATCGACACAGAAATATTAGAGCATCCAGGGCAGTGGTTCCCAACCTTTTTTATATCGCGGCACACATATCACAAAACACGAACATTTTCTACTCATAAAGAGTGCGATAGTCGAACGCGAACAGATGGTTAATAGTTACCGATATTACAACTGTTTTCTTACATTAGTGTAAACGAGAGCGTCTTCGGAGCACCTCACATTGTTGTAAACGTTGCGCGACCGATGGGTAATACGTGGCCTTCAAACGCGCCGCCGATCACGCGCTTGGGTTCTGCTCGTCGTTCCACGTTACGCCCTTATTATTATCACATGTATTGTCAAATTTTCACAACTTAATTCATTTTTGTTACAATTCAATAAGTTTCCCCCATTTCTAAATCATTCAATAGTGTTATTGTCGGTACTTGCGAGAGAAATGAAAGAGACAAATAAACTGTATTTCATTACAACAAATAAATAATTTGATGGCAAAGATCATAGCATTCACTATTTCGAAACGCTTATTCGACTTTTCAGACTGCAGAAACTATTCGAAAATAATAACCGTTTTTTTGCTCGAGATATGAAATATTCGTCGATTCCACCACGCTTTCGTGAAGTAGTGCAATTTATCAAATCTATGAAGGTTTTATTGAGTTTCATCGCATCAGTGTTTGGACTACCACGCGTTTCGCCGAATTGCTGGCGTGATTACAGATCGGGTGGGCAAAATAGTATATTTCCATCGAATCGAATAATTTTAACGAATTGTTGAATATCGGGTTGAATTCGGGATTTTATTCCGATGTTTATCTTTTTGGATCGACTTCGATCTTTTTGTCACCGTTTGTAAATTAACTGTCTTAATTTTGAGCTGAAAATATTATCATTTCTGACGCCGGAATGCGGATATTTTTGAAGACGATAGTTGACCTTCTTGATTTTACTTTTCTTTTGTGGCTGTTTTATTTTCCTATTAAATAGTGAATAAAAACCCTGCAAAGTCATTGCGTATATCTTGAATGCTATTTTGAGTTCAAATTATGATTAAATAAGTCGGCAATGATGACAATTCTACTAGTCAAATAATAATTCCTTGGTAAAATTCCGCACAATATTTCCACTTAGTCTGACTGACTCAAACCGTAAGCGCAGATGGGTTTTTTTCAAAATAAATATTAAATAAAATGATATAACCTACAATTTGTGAGTATAAATATATATGGATACCAAAGCCTTAAAATCCCGAGATTTTTCGGAAACAATTGCGGGATCGGGATTGAAAAAAACAATCCAAACCCGGGATTTCGGGATCGGGATTTCCCGGAGTCTCAACCCTACATAGTACGGTACCTGATCTCAGTTCGCACGTTTCGTAATTTGACAGTAGGCATATAATTCAGCGAGGTTTTATAGTAAAATGGAGGCAAACAAACAGCAAAATATTATTCAGTTCAAACATCTCTACTTCGCCTTGCAGAAACTTCATTAGAACAGCGTTTAATATTCAAAATACAGCAGCAAATTTCGCTTTAAATTGGATTGTCTTCTATTGCACCGCCTATTTTTGTCCTAATTGCATTCCTTTGATTATGTTTTGTGTTCATGACATTTTTGGTGAATTTTGAAGGTCCGCCGGTCCGCAAAAATTATTTTTAATTTTACCAGTCCGCGAACTGAAAAAGGTTGAGAACCACTGATCTAGAGCACTCACAAAATCATAAGAAAATTACCCACAGATTGAAAAAGAATTACTTGCTATTGTATTTGCCTGCACAAAATTTCATGATTACATATATGGCAAAAGTGTAACAGTGGAGACTGATCACAAACCACTGGAGACGATTTTCAAAAAATCTCTTCTCGCTGCACCCCTTCGTTTACAAAAATGATGATGCAACTTCAGAGATATGACATTACGCTTGTCTACAAAAAAGGAAAAGATCTTCACATCGCTGATACCCTGTCACGGGCATATCTCGAAGAAAGCCCCGATGAAGATGAAAAAGAATATGAAGTTTTACAAATATTAGCTATTTCTCTACCGAGAATAGAGCAATTGAAGAGAGAAACAGCTGCTGATGAATCGATGCAGAAATTGAATAGATTTATCCAACATGGATGGCCAGAACATGTAAAAGACATTCCACAAGATTGCAAACTATATTTTGGTTTCGGAGATCAACTTACCTCGAATGATGGTATCATTTTTAAAGAAGAAAAAGCCCACGCCCACCCATTGTACCCACTTTGTTAAAACAAGAGTACATGAATCAACTTCACAAAGGTCACCCAGGGATGGAGTCGACAAAAGGAAGAGCTCGTGATATTACTTACTGGCCAGAGATGAACAAGGACATTGAAACTTATGTCTCTCAATGAGCTGTCTGCAACAGTTATAAACCTCACCAGCAGAAAGAACCGTTGAAAATGCACCCTGTACTTGATCAACCATGGTCATCATATGTTGCAACCGATTTATTCATGTGGAACAGACTGGACTATTTAGTCACTGTTGGTTCTTATTCTGGTTGGTATGAGATCAATTCGTTGCCAAATACTACCTCGAGAACAGTAATACAAAAGCTGAAAAATCATTTTTCAAGATTTGGCGTTCCAGATTCGTTATTTTCAGACAACGGTTCAGTGTACTGCAGCCATGAATTTGAACAATTTGCAAAAGAATGGGGATTTAAACAAAATACCAGCAGTCCTCATTTTCCTCAATCTAACTCGTATAGCGAAAGAGCAGTACAGTCTGCAAAAACTCTACTTGAAGAGTGTAAACGAGATGGCAGTGATCCTATATGCACTTTTAAACCAGAGAATTATATCAAGAGATGATGTTTTGGGATCTCCTGCTCAAAGGCTGTTAGCACGTCGTATAAAAACCAACTTGCCAATAGCAAAAAGTTTGCTTGAACCAAAAGTTGTTCCAACGACACAAGTTCATGCTCAACTTACTCATAAACGCATGCAACAGAAAAAGTATTTTGATAAAACAGCTAAGTCTTTACCACCACTTCAGAGATAAAGTGAGATTGCAAACAGACAAGGGTTACAACATAATTGGAATTATTAAAAAAAAAGCTCCTGAGCCAAGGTCCTACATAGTTTCTGCAAATGGAAAAAAATACAGAAGAAATCGAAGACATCTTCTACATGTACAAGAAAGATTTGACCCCTCTATAGTGTACGATGACTCAGATTTACCCATACCAATGTTATCTAATACTTCACAGTCAAATGCTGACCACCTAATCAGGTTAACCAATCACATCACTACATAACAAGAAGTGGTCGTGTGTCTAAACCGAACAATATATATCATGATTATGTTGTATAGTTATAAATGATTGATACTGAATTAGAGTAAAATTGCATAGTCATGATCATCTTTCGTTGTTGAATTTTCATGTGATATATACATTGCATAGTTTTTCATTTACAAAAGGGGAGATGTCAATATGGTGCATTTTGTTTATTTATACTTATGACCTACTTATTCTATGGCATCACAATTGACCTCTTTACATAGTGCTCGTACGCGACGACGTACTGTTTATTCATTGGAGTTACGGTTGTCACCGATTAAGCCTTGCATATTATGTCTTTGTGTATACCTGCTAATAAATGATCCTTCGGTTTGAAGAACTCAATTACGAATGTAGGACAACCTTCGACAGGAGCTAATGTTAAAATTGTTTTGTTTACCTCACTTTTCTTTTTGAGCGTAGTATGGATTTTTAATGAATGAAGTTAGGATTGGTATGACTGATAATAATAGTGATCGTAAATTTTATGAAAGTCTTGTCAAGCTATCAATTGATATGGCGAGGCCGTTTAGTAACAGTGACCGTAAACTGTCTTAAAGTCTTGTGAAGCTACCATTGGTATGGCGTGATCGTAAATTGTCTTACCGAACAGGACTATCGAGGTTGTCACCTGCGGGGAAGCACGCAAGAATTTGTTGAGGGCTTTTTATTTGTTCTGAACCATGAATCAATAAGCTGTTTGTTTATCTCATCTGAAACTGTATTTTTGAAATGATAGGACTCATTGGTATTTTAGGGAAATATACCGATAAGAGCATAGATCGAATTATAAATATGCCTGCGTCTGCACTTTAAGAAAGAATAGCAGAGATAGACTATAAATAAGCCTGCTGCGACAGTTACGGTGGTAGTCTCAATACGCCTTCTTCGACAGTCACGGTCTTAGTTTCAAATACAAGCTGAAATAGGAACCATCAGCGATTGAACAAAATATGGGTCTTGATGAGTCTACTAGAATAAAATTCGCTTTATTTATAGCGATATTGATTTGTGTGATTATATACTCGGATGGCAGATATAAAAGTAAGTATCTAATTTTAAATGCTATTTGATTAAGTAGTAATAATTAATTATGCGTGGCAATGAACATTAGAATAAATTATTATAAAATTTGAATTTTTCTGTTCCAGGTTCAATTCTAAATTTCTGGGGCAAAACGTATGCCCAAAATAAAATTTCCGTCATCACGAAGTTTTCATTTCGAACTTTTGCATTTATCTTTTCTAGCTCTATAGTCAAAATCGTGCTACCGTGTTTCCCCGAAAATAAGACCTAGCCTGAATTTTGAAATTGACTTTAATATAAGCTGTCTCCTTAAAATAAATCTAGTGACTTTCAAGACATTCCACAGGATGATGATATGATCGTTTATGAATAATCGATGTTAGCATTTTTTCATTAAAATCTATAGTTATTTAAAGGTAAATGGATATCGGGTTCTCATATTTTTATATTTGAATACCTCGTAATTTCCTACTTTGTAATTTTGTTTTTGATGAATGAAAATAAACGACATCCCCCCAGAATAATCCCTAGTGCCATTTCCGAAAAATAAAATTAAAATAAGACTCTTACTTATTTTGGGGAAAACATGGTACACTCTACACTCTAAGAAATGTTCGGTAAATTTTACCGTCATTTAAGGGGTAAAAAATCGTGTGGGTAAACCGATTCACCGTCCAGTGTTAACTCTAAGCGAATTATGTGTGCAAAAGTGCTTCGCAGTCCAAAAAAGAAGTGCGAAAGTGCTTTTGCCGATTTTAACAAGTTAGGTGCCCTAGCTTTTGTTTTAACTTATTTGAAACAGCATAGATACTCGAAAAAGGCTCCTCCCGGTAATATTATGAATTAAAGAAGAGCCTTTCCGATAATGGAGTTTCGTTTAAATCCTTGTTTAAAATATGCGAATTCATGGGTAACGGAATGTCACCTGCTAACACCTGTGGCGTACAAAACTTTCATGCAATCAATCACTCGTGTTGGTTGCTCTCTCGCGTGAACAGCAAAGGCTTTCACATTTGAGATACGCCTACCATCTAACGGACAACAATTGATCCATGAAAGCTGGAATCCATATTAGTTATGTAGTGGATCATTTGTACAAAGCCCCTGCAAAATAACATCCCCCGCCACCACCCAAATAAAAATAGTAATTATCCAATTAGGGTTAGGAGATTGCGCTGAAAATAAACTTTTCAATTTATCCTCAACCGTAATCGGATAATTATTAATTTGTCATATTGAATCACTTTGAAAGTCGCCACCCGCTGTTTTAAGAAATAAGTTGACCTATGTTCCGTCCGAAGTATAGTCACAATTAATGTACCAGATTTCAATTGATCATGCGGAATTATATCTACTTAAACCCTAACCCCAACCCCTAATCCATTAAAACTGTATCCATAAGAAAAACGTTCCAACTTACCCAATATTTGTCACCATAAGGGACAGCCCTGTCTTTACAGCCCACCTGCCGTGGTTACGCAGCAAAATTTTACCTGCCATTGGTTTTCAATTTGCTGCCGCGGTAACGGCAACTCGTCATTGGTTTGTGGCAGCTAAAAAGTCAGTCGTCATAGGTTTGGCCGTAGTGGCCATGGTATGGAAATACCGCCATGGTTTTGCGGCAGCTGCAGACGCCACAGAATACTTAAAACTGCACTTGAGAGTCACAATTGCAGCAATGAGCATAGCCCTTACCCGTTCGACTTTGTTTTACATGGCAAATTTCTTTTCATATTCGAAACGGAACTCCTGCTTACGCTCAGCCAATGTCTAAATTATGGTTTGTCCTTAAAAACAGAATCAATAGAAACTAGCAGCATAATTATGGTGTAACTGTGTCACAGTTTGCCTGGAAATACCGCAAATCCTACCGTTAACAGAAAAAGTTCTCACTAAGACTGAGCATGCCCGAGACATGAGGTCGCGGCATAGTCCAGTTATGGTCACGTGGGTAATTAAAACGTCACAAAAATAACGCAGCGAAGCTCGAATACGCGCTGCCTATAATGATAAACACCGTATTTCGTTTCCACGCAAGGTTTCTACGTAAAACACGAACCAGTCGTCCATGTTTCAAGACAAAATAAGCACGGAACTAAAAGAAAAGCACTTTTCTTAGAAATAAGCACATCGTTACTTTATAAGACGCAAGCTAGAAAAATAAGCACAAATCTTAGAAATAAACACGATATGGCAACCCTGCTTATACCACAGTACCAGTCAGCCAGTATACTGCTGTACTTTTCAGACTTTTATAGCCAGTATAGCCTATATATAGTTTAATAGGAAGATAGGTACGGTAGATCTTACCAGTCTTACCCTAATGGCCTAATACATTCATAATCAGCACTAAATAACACAACACCTGACATTATTAGATCAAAGCTACAGTACCAGTAAGGCTTACAGAAATACTGCCAACGCAGTAATAACAAAAGCGACAACAAAGATATGACTATCGGCTTACATATCGAAGTCAAAAAAGTCTGGATATCGTCAATCAAAGGGACAAATTAGGGAGTAAAGCAACGACAAAAAAAAGCGCGTGATAATTTACGCATTTAAAATATAGCGTCTGATTGGCTGCTCTCCCTTACCAGTGAGCGCGCGCAACATTGACTAATGCCACGCCTCCAATGTTGGTGAATATTACCGACATTTGTCGGTGAATCAGTTTACCGACCTCATTTTTTAATTTTTTATCCCTAAAATGACGGTAAAATTTACCGAACATTTCTTAGTATACCCTGGTAATTGTGACATTTCGTGAATTGGATTTCAAAAGTTTTTATTGTTTTCCACGGTAAGCTGTGAATTTAGATTGTTTAGAATACATATTGGTAATTATAAAAACTAATTTTTCTCAGAACGACATAGAAAAGGCCGTTTTATGAGGAAGCCTACGGACAAAAGATGCTTGCGATTCTGCAAAACCAGAAGTAGGCATCCTATTATCTATATAAAACCTCGCAGATGTGAGGAAGTGAGAGGAAGAAGAAGTATGTTTTATATTTTGCCCCTATAAACTTACTGATCATCTAAAGAATTAATAAAAATTCATTTAATTATTACAAAGATTTGTATTGAATTGTCGTAAATTTTATTTACCAATAATTCATTATAAAGGGTCGATATTTTTGTTGCGTATTTTTTTAAATTATTTTTTTTTCAGGAAGAAAATTTTGCGAAGCGTGCAGAAATACCATATGCAACAGAACAAATTCTTTTTTGTCATAAACGGTTTTACACCATGATACATCTTTGTTCGGTCGTTTCTACGTTCAGTGTTTCGTTTGAAGCAACATATCACATTGTTGATGTTCAATATTTGTGATCTCGTTACTACACAATCATTGCCGTAGTACTTATAGTACTAAACTGAATTATAAGTCACATATCGTCACGCTAATAACCGAATTGCGTAAGCCATTTTTGGCGATTTTGAGTTTTTTATAAAATAGGTATTTATGTAATGCTGCGCACCTGTCTGTTAACTCAGATTTCATTTTAAGAATTCCGAAACCCATAAAAATAGAGATTTAGTATAACATGCACTTTTATGCAATTGTTGCGTCATAATGAATTATCATTGTTACCGCAGGACTATTGTGACGTCACAAAGGCGAAATAACCTCTGCGAAGTATTTTCGAGTTTTTGCATCTCGGATTCTAGCGTAGCGCGTATTAATTTGAATTTATACTACAGTATAGGAAGACGTGCACTAGTGATATTCACTGTCCGAGTCCAATTCACCTTGGTCGGCTTTTATATTGGGTGCATTGCTGTTTTATTCTTTATATTTGATCTTAGTCTTATTTTGGTGGGTGTGCAGAACGTGTTATATTATTGAAATATATATTTTTAAACATAGAAAATAATGTAATTGAAACTGATTAGCTATTTTTGGAATTAGACATTGTAGATACTGAAAATTACATTCGTTTTTGGAATGTTCAGTTTTTAGGACTGGTGCATATAGTAAAGTTGCAAAATTGCGTATGTCCCCAAGTCATAGACACATTTCTGCCTAAGTCACGATGCGCCATTATGACGTCACTTAACTGCGTCATACAACTTAACTTAAATCCGGCAACGATCAAAAAATTGAACCATGGCAAATTATTGACCCTCAATGGCATAACAATTTCATTAGGAGGTTTTTTACGTTTTTCTCAAAACTGCTAAAAATGACTTACGCAATTCGGTCATTAGCGTGACGATATATACATATGTATACGTGTGTACATTTGATCAAGTAGACACCAATAAGGTATGGATTCAACACTGTATTTTTTTAAATATTCAGTATATTTTATAGTATAAAATTTATACTATATATAGTACAAGTTTAAACATATCTTCTTTAGACAAAATCTGTGCAATCCCGTAAACTTTCTTTCATAGCCAACGATGCGAATCAATCTGACGGAGCTCACACGCGAGGTTGCTTATACCAGGGCTTCCCAAACTTTTGAGCTCGAGGCCCCTTTCAATATATTAAAATTTTCCGCGACCCTTGTTCGCGCTAATAATGCTAAACAGCTCGAAATATGCATTTTTGATGTTTTATTGACACAGCTATATCTCAACTTTTAGTAGGCCTACTCAATTACAAAAACAAGCACATATTTATTCAGATTAACCTTACATGATTATTCAGTGTAACGGGTGCGAATACTTTTTGCTGCATAGCAAGTTCAGCCTTGGCTCAATGTTTGTTTATGCAGGCCTAAATGATGATTTACGATGTCTAGCCCCCGACGACATGGTACTTATCTGGAATTGTTCCCTCTTGTTGATCAAACTTAGCATAAGACAGGTTTGAACATATCCAAATAAAAAATTAAAAAAGTTGTGTTTTATCTGTAAAATGGAGATCATTTTATTTTTAATTTAAGAATATCTTTCACATGTTACTTTATTTTGGAATATTTTGTGAATGTAAATACAAATGTTCAAAACATTTGGTGTTTTTCGATATTTTAATATTTGACGTACTGAAGGTCATCTTTTACAATCCTCTGAAGTCTCAGCACTTATCAACATTTCGACATTACAATTTGAGAAAAACGTGACTGTGATTGGGATTTTTATTACAAATTTGCCTGCAGTGGGATTTGCACATAGTCTAGTTCAGGGGTCACCAACCTTTTCGAGGCCGAGGGCAACTTTCTGGGTACAGATTAAGCTGCGGGCTACCAGTTCAATGTACTATTCTAAAAAAGCCAGTTTGCTGGATTAAACTTCAATTATTGATAATAAATTACCGGTATTTAGTCAAGTAGAGACGCTGATAGGATTAGTGCAGAGGTCTCAACCTCAATTTACTTGGAGTGCCGCTAGGGCAGAGTCTGGATGAGTCCGGGCCGCATCAGGTTTTCCACAATAAAAGCTTAGCAATTCGTTTAAATTGTATTCCTTGTGCACTGCATCTTTAACTGTGCAGATAAAACATGTCGGGATGCTCCTATGCTCAACAAAGAAATATTGCATTTCCCAGTTTTTTGAAATTGTCTGTGCTCAGCACCAACCTTTCTGTTTACTGAAACTTCACTTCCAACGACACGTTTAGGGATGTGCGAAATTATAAAATTCCATTTTGTAATAACTGTTGCGCTGATGTTTCAATCAAGCATTTAGCCGATGGACAGTGATGTTTTGCCAAATGGGAAACATGGTTACAATGTATCAAGATAAATCTAAGCGTTAGTGATTGTGACGTCAAAATATAGGAACATTGTTTTTGAATTATTTCAGGCGGTCCCGCGATCGAATATCAGGCCTACAGGCATGGTACCGCACCGCATATTCCTTTCAGGGAATAGATGATAAAATATTTTGTTTTGCACTACGTGAGAGTTTCCCTTTTTTGGCCACGCGACACTCACACTTTTTATATCTCCTCGCGGAACATCAAAAAATGGAAGGGTGAAATTGATAAAGAAAAACGGTGCAATGTAGCGGTTCCCAATGGTTTCGCCGTGGCGAGTTGCAAATGCGCGAAAAACTTTCAGCATTTCAAAGTAAAACCAGGTAGAGATGGAGGAAGAACAGTTGACCTTTTGCCTTTGTTTGTCTTTAGTTAACAGTCAAAAAGCTAACCGACGGTTAACGAAAATGTCACTACCCTAACTTAGTTAGTCCACTTTAGGCCGACGGTGACGCAATTTTAAACGGTCAGTTGGGCAACAACTTCATGATTCTCAGATCGCCATGGCGACCAATTTAGATGTATTTTTAATTTCTTTTCCACGCAACACTCGGGAGAAGCTCGCGGAACATTAGTTTTCCGCGTAACACAGTTTGGGAAACGCTGTTATATTAAAAGCATTAATCATGCTAACTGAGCTAAGTGACTTGCGGGCCACACTAACATTATACTTTAATATCAAGGCGGGGGCCACAAACTATCATCCCGCGGGCCGCAATTGGCCCTCGGGCCTGGAGTTTGAGACCCCTGCGATTAGTGGATCCTTCAGAAAGTCAAACGATTATCACAGCCTAGCAAATTAATTTCTATCAATGACACTTGCATTCAAAACTTCGACGTGTAACTTGACAATGTAACTCTGAGCAAGTCTTGTACATTTTCATTAGTGAGGCGTGTTCAGTGTTTGTTCTTGGTGGAGTGAGTCGCGGCGGTGTGGCCCATCGTGCTAAGCGCTAGGTTCGCAGGTTAGAATCACATGCGGGGATAGTTGGACGCCTCGCCGCCATTGGGTGCTTCACGTAACCGCCGGTCACGGCTTCCTTCGCCATCAAGTCCATGCTTCCGAAAGCAAATAACTAACTCATCCCATACCCGACATGGAATGGTAACCGGACGAGAGGCCGTGGTTCGCCATATGGTTAAGTCGTTATATCGGCTATCTTCTCCCCTGGGATAAATATGTAAATCCCATCCTATCCTGAGTTTATGTCAAAAATGTTGATTCGCAAAGATAGGTTGAACCAAACAATGGTCTCGTAAAATAGAATTGCTGTATGATTTGAATCGCGAGCTGCCCGTACAGCGCTGACCAGTGGGTAGTTAGCGCGGAAGATTACGTGACAAGATGTGAAATATCTCTTCGCTTTGCCGTCGCTACAATCGCCCCACAAATGAGACACACGCAGGCTGTTTTATGGTGGTAAAAATATATCCACCTCCCATTCATCGTGAAAATGGTGGGTTTTTCATCGTTTTCTGCCATTTTTCTTTGGAATCTATAATTGTATTACTGCTGCTCCACAAACTAGCGGACAAGACAAAGCGCGGGTTCGTGGAAAGTGATATCAGTGCGATGTCATAATTGGAAGAGTGTTACCTGGCCCGTCGCATTACTGAGGTCAAATAAAAATCAGGTTGATGGTTACAATAAATAATATGGTGTCATTCTCAGTTCCATATAAGTGTGATTTATACAAGAATAGCAGGACAAAATTTAGTTGATGTAGCTTACTTGTAAGCCCCGTTATTAAGTTTAGTTTGGAACACGCCTGCGGGCGACTTGTATGATCTTCGCGGGCGACTTGGTGCCCGCGGGCAACGCGTTGGTGACCCCTGGTCTAGTTAATAACGGAGGCATATAGTTGATTTTCATTATAGATGAAAGCTAGAATTGTTTTCGAATTACACAGTTAGTCTAGGCTATGATGTATTCATCGGTTTTTCTGTACCAGTAACGTAAAACCAAAATTAAAAAAATTGGAAATTTTTTTGTGAGAAGAAATCGTCATACGCTTATTATGTTATTTCATTTTATACAAACATTAAGGGACGTCTGTGTAAGTTAACGTACAAAAATATTCTATGTGACAATGAAGTTGCAATCGTTACAAAATCGTGTAATTGACAATGTTGCAATATCCAACAAATTTACTACGTGTAGCGAAGTCGTTTTACTTCAACTAACATGCATGATAATGTTGTTAAACAGATTTTAGCTAGAATCAATGAAATATATGGCCGATTCACTTGCGTTTGCTGCAAAAATTTCCTTCAGACAAATCTGTGCAATCCCTTAAACTTTCTTTCATAGCCAACGATGCGAATCAATCTGACGGAGCTCACACGCGAGGTTGTTTATAGTTATACGATATAGACTTCGACAAAATTAGTGCTGTTGGTAAATACTTGGCGTCATAACCAGTGTTCCCTCTAAGGTGTGCGCGCGCACACAGCTTACAGAGGCTGCGCACACGCATAGATTTACTTCGCACAGACGTATTTCGATGTAATGTAACAATGTGCTCGGTTGGCAGGTTGAGAAAGTTTGTTGTTGGCCCACTTATTCTCCGGTTAGAACGCCGGAGGTTTTTCATTGGTTTTTGCACAAATATTAGTCATTTCCAAAAAAGTGCGCACACACCAAAATTTTTGCGCACACATACTACAAAAAATTAGAGGGAACATTGGTCATAACAATATAAAAATCAATCACGCGATGTATTTAAATGCTGGATACACGAATACGTCTTCAGAAACTTGTTTTTATCTCTCCAAGAACAGATACAATGCATTAAAATAAGGTATAACGATTCCATGCAGCGTTTTAATCATATTTATTCGAAGAAAAATTTATAAACTGCAAATAATTTAAGATATTTCATGCCATTTATGTGTCTGGGCAGGCACAATATTGTTGCGAATCCTAGGATAATTCAAAATGCTGAAAATAACTTTTGTATTCGAAATTTTTGACAATCAGGTG